TATATATATATATATATATATGGGGTCATTATATGGGCAACTATCAAACCTATATTTTTTGTTTAGATGACAACCTTTTACAGCTTTGCTCAGGAGAAAAATTTTATTTTATCTTCATTAATGTTAAAATTGTTACTTCTGAGCAAATAATTTAATTGTTCAATTAAATATAATGCTCTTACTCCAAATGTTGTCAAAGTGGAGTCGTTTGCTCATTTTAATAAGATTACAGGGAACAGAGAAAAGGACAAGAAAGTTAAGGAAAAAAAAATCCACAAGATACCTTCAGTAGTTGCTACAGATGGTGTATTTGATGGTGTTTGTGTGCCATTTTGCTTTAAGTGGGTAAGGGGAAACTTTACTTTGAACATATTAAACGTAGACATTTATTACTTTGCCCCCTAATAATGATTTAAGGGCTTGCTTTTTTATGATTTGCCCTTAATCATCTTCTCTTCTCTGTATGTTCTTTGACACTATTTAATTTCCTTCTCTACCCCTTGGCTTTTTTCATGCCTTTCTACTGCTCTAACCTTCTTCTACCCTTTCCTTCCCTGCCATCTCGATACACTTCTCCTCTCCAGCTGGGTTTGTGAAGTCGCCACTGTCTGAGACTAAGCTTACTGGGGACACCTTTGAGCTGTACTGCGAGGTGGTCGGTAACCCCATTCCAGAGATCCAGTGGTGGTACGCTGAGGTCAACCGAGCCGACTCCTTCAAGCAGCTGTGGGACGGAGCCCGCAAGCGTCGGGTATTCATCAACACGGCCTCCGGCACCAATGAGGTCAGTGTGCTCGGCATCACTCGCCTTACTCTGGAGGACTCTGGGACCTATGAGTGCCGGGCAAGCAACGACCCAAGGCGCAATGACCTCCGACAAAACCCAGCCATGACCTGGATCCGAGCCCAGGCCACCATTTCAGTGCTACAGAGTGAGTGGTCTATGTGCTGCAATACCTAGATGGTGAACAAACTAGAAAAAGCCCTTGTCAACCCTTTAGAATCTTTAGAGACCCTACCCAGCAACCACTGGCCAGCCACACTCCCACTCCTTGACAAAATAGATTTAAAACATCATTTCATAATAAAGACAAAATAAGTAAAATTATTGTCTAAATCTTGCCAGTGGTTGACTTTTGTGGTTTGTTTTCAGTATTATGTTGAATATAGTTACATTTTATAATTATGTTCTAGAGAATGAGGTGAATTCCCTGTCTCTCCTAAAATCCCCTGAACTCGTAAAATGACCACAAACCCAGGAACTTTACCCAGTCTATCAACATTTCTCTTTCCTTCCAAACTAAATCTGTGTTTATGCTCTCTCATGTGTCCTTTTGCAATATTCTAATCATGATCTTTTTCCCCCTGTATCTTAATTTCATCCTGTTTGCTATTCCCAGATTTCTTTGTGATACCTCCTTATCATCATGTGTCTTTTTTGTTGCATCAATTGTTTTATTTACTTCAAAGCCCTGCCTGACAGCTAAATGCAAAGAAAGAAAGAAAGAAAGAAAGAAAGAAAGAAAGAAAGAAAGAAAGAAAGAAAGAAAGAAAGAAAGAAAGAAAGAAAGAAAGAAAGAAAGAANAGAAAGAAAGAAAGAAAGAAAGAAAGAAAGAAAGAAAGAAAGAAAGAAAGAAAGAAAGAAAGAAAGAAAGAAAGAAAGAAAGAAAGAAAGAAACCTAGTGGTGCTTTGAAGTAATTGTGCTTTTGTTTTAGCTTTGTCACCCTAGGCACAGTATAAATGGGACTTTAAGAAGACACAAGGAGGGATCCGTTCAGGTGTAAAACTGTGATTCCTGATGTCAACTCTTCCCTGATAAAAGCAAACATTTACTGCTTTCAAATTTATGTGTGGTAATCCAATAAAGGATAAGACCACATGGTGCCCCCTGGAGTGTTTCCTTTCTTGTTCAGATGAATTTTCCCCCTTTTACACAACCAACTGTCTCTCTGGGAACTGCCTGTGCAATTTTTTTTTTGGTAACCTTGTGCCTTCTCAGCCATTGAGTGTGTGACTGTGAATCAGTAATGACATTATATCCTTTAACCTTTAGCTCGATTCGCACACAAACATTCAGACAAACCGAATTTGAACTGGACTTTCCCAGTCTGTGCATGCTTCACTGCTCTGCCCACTGGAGCACAGGGAGATGTGGAATGTTGTTAGTCACAGTGAAGCTTTGAGAAGTTTAAAGGAGTCTGGTCTTTGCTAGCTCATCTGATTGGGCTGACAAAATTAGCCATATGTGAGAGATTAACTGTATAAAGTGTTGGACTAATGCAATTTTCACAGATAGCTCAATAGACACTTTATATATTACTTTTACTTTAAATCAAGACAATCATAAAATATATTTTGTCATTACTGAAAAATCAATGTTCTATAAATATACATGCAATAAATTAATTATTCCATGTATATTACAGGCTATATTTGTATAGCCCTTTGCAGTTTGGAAAACACTATGAAGTCTAATTGTCTTGTTTTGGCCCTCTGTTCCTCCTCACTTTTGCTTGTGAATGTGAATTACTCAAAAATCAAAACATAAGTATATTCGATTTATCTGACAATGTATTTTCCTGTCAAGTTGGCCTTTTGATTTTCAAGTAAGTGCAATTCTTGTGTTGAAGTTGAAAAAAAAATGCACGCATGGATCATACCTGTAGAAAAGCACAAATATGCATTTAAAAAAAAAAAGTACTCAAAGTCCCAAAAAATTATGAATAAAAATAAGTGGGTAAGGGGATAAAAATGCTGTTTCATTCTAAAACATAAGCATTTAAATATGTTGGGATACATATACACTGCAAATAGAACTTCATTGTGACTGTGTTGTAGCTAGCAGCCAATCTGCTTTGCATTAGTCAAAAACAGCTAGCCTGCTTCGGCTCTGCTACTGCACTATTTAAAATAAATCTTCTCTAAAGTGCATTCATTTACATAGATTATGAAATGGTTATATTTGTTGTATAAAGCCCCAAAAGAAGTTAAATTATTTTCCAGCAACAGTAATCTGAAGCTAGGCTAGCTGTACTCCTGTTAGTCTTTATGCAGAGCTTTAAAGCTTGGTTGCTGGCGGTGGTTCCTTATATTACATAACAAAAATAGTTCTGTTGATGACATTTGATTCTTAGCAAGAAAGCAAGCATGTTTCTCAAAATGTTCCGCTGCTACTTCAACCCAAAACTGCAGCTAGTAGCTTATATAAGTGACTCTGGTGTGGGTAAGTTTTCATATTGAAACAAACAAAATATTTATCTCTAACAGCATGATTGCTGTTTGTTACAACCAACTTTTGATATGTACACTTTTCCGCATTAATCTCACCCAGTGTTAGTGTGTAGATTATACACTTATTTTTCAGATTTCAGAAGGTACAAAATGTAGCTAGATCTAGATTCTCTGTACAAAAAACCCCCTGCCCTGTCACTTTTTATAGACGTAAATCTGTAATACTAAAATGTGTAACATTATATTTCTGTTGCATATTACTTATTCTGTCAAAACAAGATCAGATCCAACTATACTTGACAATCAGTCAAAATGACCCATTAGCTCAAAGGTCAKCTTCAATGAGTTTCATTATATTTAATTACATTTTGATTAAGTAGATCAAAAGTTGCCACATTCTACACTACAACGAGCCGCCCTACAAACAACCTTCTGTTTAAATTGCCAGTGGACAACTGTGCCATGTTTGCTAAATGTTAATTTATATACCCCATGTCGTGTGCATACGCGTGTCTCAAAGATACTATTAATAGTACACGTAGCTCTGCTTTGTAAGGGAGCGAGGGTCATGATGGGGGATGGGAACAATATCCCTTTAGGTATTTAGCATCCGGATGTACGGGAACAAGGCGCCGTGAATGCTAAGAGAAGTCAACTGTCAGTCTCAGCAGTTGCCCTTGGCCTTCTACTTGTTCCCTTTTGCTTTGCTAGCAGCTCAGCAGCAGCAGCAGCAGTCAGTAGTAGGATTATGATGCGCCTCCTTCTCTGCTCCTCCCCTCTGGGGCTTCGTTGTTGCCATGGTTGGCCCGCCCTGAAGGAGGGGGAGGGGCTGTGTGCAGGAGGCCTCCTGCTCACTACTCTAGGCAGAGCAAAGGGCACCTTGCTCTAAGATGACACCCTCTGCTTCTCTTATTGTCCTTTAAAGATGGACCCCACAAGGTTTCATAACCAGTGCAGACGGTGAGCTTCTCAAGAGGCTGTGATGTTAAATCTCAATGGTCTGTTATTGGTTGTCAGCCAGGGGCTTCATTTGTAGAACTCTGTATGCACAATCAGCTAAAAAAAATGTTGACGTATCCATCTACAACACCTCCACTGTAAACCACAGCAGGTGAGCTTTGGTTGAGGCACAGTGATCCTCACTGCTTTAGTTTTATTTAGCCTTAAAACACACAAGTCTATAAAGCCAATAAATTCACACACATTGCTTTGTTAAACTCCAGGAGGGCGTTCAGCTCCATAATTTTTAGGTGTTTCTCTTATTTTCATAGTTTTAGCTAGCCTATGTGTTAACTCGAGTGATTCTGGACACAAGTGAACTTGTAGGTGTTAAAATATTTACATTATTCTAAAAAAAACATCATGCTAAAATCCCACTTATGTCCAGTTTTTTGTTCACATTAAAAAACTGTAATGTATGCGTCTGTGAAGAAATCAGCATAGTTGGAGATATTGTGGGTAAATGCTAGAAATAGTTAAATCAATAAGTGTGAAGCTCTAACACTTAATCTATGCATAATACCAGTCAATAACATTTATTATTGCTATGAGTGTAGGATTCAGTTAGTTTTCTAAAATGAAGTTTGCTCTGTTAGTTAGTGGTTTACCCAAGTATATACACAGTGGGTTAGAAATGATCTCTACACTGATGGCTTTCTGAGACAATTTAGAGTGAGTTTAAAAAACACATTAACTATATTGCAGATATCTTCTAATTCATATCTGTCAAAACTGCACACTCAAACTCACATTTGCCTAGTGAAGGATTAACTCAATCACTGCATTTCRTCTCTTTAAGATAAATGACAATCCGTTGGCTCTACTTTTTTATGCTTTTTAGTTTATTTGTTGTGTGAACTCCACTTCTTATACTCCCTCCTACACGGATCATTTAAAAACAGCACACAGCCTGCGGCGACCACAGTACACCATTGGAGGGAGAATTAAAGCAGATTTGAGTTGTAGTTCTGGGATAAGGTTTGACTATCTCTGTCTTCCAGAACCAAAGATAAGTGCTTCCGATGAGATCGTCCTGTCAATGGACACATCYATCAAACCAGTCATCCTGCAGTGTAACCTAACAGCTTCCCACACACCACACAAGGAAAGTTTCTGGATGAAGAACGGACAAGAGATCCCTAACACGCGAACAGAGCAGAGGACCACAGTATACAGGTGACCAAAAAACACAGAAAATCATCTACATCTCAAGTAAACTTCCCACATATAAAAATGTCATGGCGTTAAGACACTGCAGAGGTATTTTTGTAATGGTACATTTGTCCTAGTGRGGTCTCAAGTCATTCCTGGGGTTCAAGAACTTGCATGAATGAAGGCTTTACGGTTTGCTGATTAGCTCTGAGTTAGAAATGGGGAGGCTGCACACAGCTGCATGCATGGCAACTCAGGTTTGTTTTTCTGCTTGGCTGACTGATGGTAGGTACTTTGTTGTAAGTGGGACACAGGGTGTACACTGCAGTGTAGCAGGAATTTCCTGTTCTATTAAAAGGATTCAATGTCTTGTCTTTTTTTCCCTTTTGTTTCAACAGCTTTTAGAAACAACAACTAACAAATCTGTACAGTCCTTATTGCACAAGAATTTTGTTCTGATTCATCATGGAAACAAATCTTTTGTACTTTACTGTTTACGGATAAGTTAAATTTAGCTTTCAAAATGTGATCTTCACTAAAATTATTCAGCACATCAAAACCCCAAATCTTCATCTCTCCCTACCTGTCCATTATAAAAACGTCATGTCATTAATTTGGGGCTGTTACCAAAAAGCTATTGTCACCTCCATGGACATAACACACATTCTGCCTAACCATGAGTTAAGACCAACTGGTCACTTACTTGTCACAGTACATCAGTGAAACACTGATCATTTTAGTTAAAATGCCTTTAGCAGCCTTCCCTGGAAAATCTAGGGCTGCTGTTTTATAATAAAAAAGTGCCAAGATTTTTTTTCCCTCTCGTGGCCTTGTATGTCCTTCAGGCTTTCACTGCTTTAGTCAAAACTAATTACTTGCCTGAGAAATTTATAATTAGATGTCTTCACTTACAGGACTACTTGCAGAGTAAGTGACAGGTAAATGAAAAACTACAGAATAGTTTCAAATTTTGCAATTTTATCTTTTGCTTTTTCCAGAATTCCCAAACCACGGGCAGATGATTCTGGGGAATATTTGTGTGTTTACACTTTTGACAAAGCACCAAATGCAAATGCAACAACTGAGGTGAAAGGTAAGTTTCCCTCCGTGATGTGATGCCTGTACCTCTTCTACCACCTGAGTGACACAAACACTTGGATCAAAAAGTGTCTGGGAATTGGAATTTGTCCTGGTGAATTGAAATACAGAGAAAAGCCTTTTTCTTATATTTATTTCAATACACGAGAGATGGAAATGTCAGAGAAGAAATGACCACCTGAAGCTGTGTGAGGAGTCATTGTTGACAGAGATGAATCCATCCAGTGCAGGGGTGATGACAGGGAGATTTCCCAGGGCTGTTGTCACTTTTGGCTTTACTGAGACGACAATTTAGTAAAATGGACAGGCATTGCGCATGGTCTCCAAAACATGCAAATCAGAAGGTCTACAAGGAAATGTAATGCTCTCAACTAACAACAATAATAGGCCCATACAGAGATGGTGGATACAAGACACTACAAGCTAAAGCWGGGCTATTCAACTACCGTATTTATTCAAGTATAATACGTAAAATGAAATCCATAAAATCATCCATAAAGTYGGGAGGTAGTACTATACTCGGATAAATATTTTTACTTTTGTATTTTAACTGAAATATCAACTTCATTCACAAAATGCATAAGTCCGGAAATGAGACCGCGTCGTAAAAAGCAGTTGAAACGAGCTTACCTCTGACACTACTCCGTGCTTCAGAGCGAGATAATAACAGATCCAGGCAGGCGACATGATGTGAAAAAAGGGGGAAAAAAGTAGTCCTGCACCTTAGTAATGATAACAAACTAATGACATTAGCGTGTGACCGGGCTGCTTCTGGAACAACAACAAACACATGTTCGTCTGTAATGGCTGCCATCTACCGGTGTTCTGAAAAAGTTTGTATCCCTGAAAAAATGTTTCCCCACCAGAGGGGGCGCTCGCGTGTAGGAAGCAATCTGCTTTTCCCCCACAAGATGGCCCGAATCTCATGTGAAGTCTCTGACTTTTACATATGTTGTTAAAATAAAATGAACAGTCCAATGATAATTTTATTGATATGTATAAAGGCTGCAAAGGCTGAAAAATCTTGAAATCTGTATGAAATTGGAGGTGGTTTGAGGATGAAATTTTTAATGCTTTTTAAGCTCAAAAAAGGAGGGGTCGTATTATACATGAGATCGTATTATACACGAATAAATATGGTAAATTGCTCCGGGGGGGGGGGGGGGGGGGGGGGTGTGGTCACAGTTACTCAAAGCCAACAGTTCAGGGGCCAGACATTGGTGGGTGGGGGAAAGGATTATTTACTCAATAATGGAAGGGAAGACGATGCATTATGTAAAATAACAAGTATTATTATATTATACCTTTTAAATTTGTTTATTTAGTTGCATTGAATAATAAATTTAAAGTTAATTTAAAATATATTTTTATATATATCTATATAAAAAACTAAGACAGATGGAAGTCACGCGCATGTCGCCAGTTGAATATAGAGTTGCACACATTGCTTAAAGCAGCGAATCTCTTTACTACCAGGTGTTGCTTACATTCTGTATATTGTGTAATTCTTTAACAACTAGAAGAAGATCCATTTAATTAACCTTCCTGCCTTAAACCGAGGCCTGGGGGATCATTTTATCAGTCTGCCCCAGGGCAGCTGTGTCTACATTGTAGCTTACTATCATCAGTGTGTGTGAATGAATGGTGCATGAAACTGTAAAGCATTTTTTAGGGTATCGAAAAGCACCATAAGACTAATGCATTAATATTATTATTTTGACCCAAGGATAGCAGGAGGCTTAAGAACAACCAGAGTAAGCAGCAGGTTTTAAAACAACACGTCTGGTTAAAAAGAGTATCACTCAGCTAAACAAGACAAACTGTTTTGTTTTAATACATTTTTGGACAGGAAATAATCAGTACCATTCCTTGATACTTAATAAAATGATCTGTCATGTTTGGTGCTACAGGCCATAACAGAATAACTAGCAGGTGGTGTCCAATCCTGGTCCTCGAGGACCACTATCCTGCATGTTTTAGAGGCTTCTCTGCTCCAGCACACTCCAGCACACTTGATTTGAATGAATGGGTGATTAACAGGCTTCTGCAGAACTTGAAGAGGTAATTCAATTACTGAATCAGGTGTGTTGGAGCATGCAAACAAGTAAAACATGCAAGGTAGCGGCCCTCGAGGGCCAGGATTGGACACCCTTGGGCTATAGCGATAATGTGCTTAAAGGGTCGTTGAGTATAAATCGTGTGTACTATTTTTAAAATGACATACACTGCAGTAGGAGGGGTTAGAGGGGAGTCATATGTCTCATTGATTCTTAAAAAAAATCAGCTGTAGCTGAAAACAAAAGTAATGTATTCAAGTTGTATAAACATGTTTTATTTCAAAGAATTATTGCTGAAGTTGTAGCATTTTTTGGGCAGTCAGTAGAGCACAAAAACTAATGATGGGTTCACAATGTGTTGAGTTTCACTCCAGCTGACCCTAAAGTTCTCAGCTTAAATAATAAGGAATCATCTGTGAAAAAAGAAAGGCAAACCCTCTTGCATGTGTTTAAGCCTGTTAGCTGTGGCATGGCCATGGTGCACACTGCTCTCCCCCCTCTGCCTCTTACTTCACGACTGGCCTTGAAGCAGGGCCTGATTGCGTAACACGGGTGACAACCATGTGCGTTTTTATTTCACCGGGTTGTGAGATGACGACACTAGTCGCCATGCAAACCGTAGTGTCCAAGCCATCACAAGGCTGCAGGAAGGTTGACTCTTGAGGCTTGCTGTCTGTTCCCCCCCCCCNCCCCCACCCCCTTGAGGGGAAAATTCAGTAACTGAACAGCCACTGAAGGATTTTCACTAAAACATTCACAATTAAAAGAAATATTCAAGTGCTAGGGTTTTGATCTGATGAGAAGRCACATGTTCGGGATCTCTAAAAAGATTTGAAATTTTGTAATAATTGAGAATTGTTTGGAGATCATTTTTGACCCAGGTAGCGGGCCCACTGTTAAGCAAGCCAGCTTTGCAGAGCGCTTCTGGCAGCAGTTCACTGAGATCCCTCGCCTACAGTGTCCTTGGCACACTCATCCTTGCAGGACTCAGCTCATAGGCAACAGATGGAGGCTTCTGTGATGTTGTAGGATTATGGTTCTGAATACGATCTCAGCCATCTCTGTGGGTTTTATTGTCTACAATACAAAGCTTACTAGATACACATTTGATAATTCATATCTATCAAATTTTATAGGTTTTAGCTGTCAATTTTATTGCTCCTTAAAAACATTAATGCACAAGATAATTCATTTTTATGCAAATCAAAATAAATGTTAGCAGCTATTTAAAATCTGATGTCATTCCATTCTCGGGTAGACTGGACCTCGTTTCCTCTCACATTCACGTCACTTCACCCCTGCATGGCACAAAGATTAATAATTAGAGTCAGGAGTGTGAAATGGAGATTTCTGCCTGTTTTAGCACCACTCAGATAGCTGTCTGTGTGCTGTCACTCACTGACAGACTACAGTCGGGATAAGGCCCAAATGAGCTTTGCCACTCCCTCTGCTCAGGGAGCATGTGCACGCCATAATTAGAGTGGAATGATCTCACCGAAGAGCGCCGAGCCCGCCTGCTCTGTTATCCATGTGCAGCTGAAAACTGCTCACACTTGATTATGGTGATGCTGAGGATTAGTGTAAAAGCAAAAAACATACACATATATATATAGTGCTGCGTGAAACTAAACAGAAAACGTGTCAGGAAAACTGTTCATTTGATGGCTCAGTATGACTTTTTCTTTGCTTTTTGATGTGTTTGAATTTTATTAATTCTATAATCTCTGCTGTGCTTTCTAACATCAGGTTATTCGTTACTCAGGAGTCATTTAGCACAATATTCTTTTGCTTTGAATTTCAATGGAGGAAAATACTTTGAATGGGAACATCTGGGGTCTTTCATATCATACTGACACCCTCTGCCCCCCCCCCCCCCCAGCTTATTATGATTTGTACTGATATGTATTTTTTTGTAATTCCATTCAGTGGTATGCCCAAAGCAGGAGTTGATTAGGAAATGTACATTATACACTCCTGAAAAAAAAACCCTTCAGATTCAAAAATGTCTGCCTTGTTTCAATGAAAGTGGAGACACTCAGCTGATATAATGTAAATATAAAACAAATATTTCTGACCTTAAAAGCAAAGCAGAAAAGTTATTATCATAATTTGAAAATTTTTAACATCAAAACACTTAATTTAGAAAATAGTTGCAAATTTCACCAACTTATTATTTTTTTTTAAAAAGTAGGTGTTCAAAGTACAGTTTATATAAAATATGCACATATAGCTCAAAATACAGAACTGAGCAAAAGTTTTGAACTGCTCCTACTTTTTTAATACTTTGCTCTCAAGCACCCAGACCTTCTTGTAATCCTTTAAAGTGGTTTTGATCAATAGTTCTCCAGGCTTTGCCGAAATTTGTTTAGCTGTTATTTTTACTTGTTTTCAGCCCAGACCTTGTACCTGATGGTAACGYTTTGTGCAGAATATGTGCTTAAAATATGAAGTTTTGTGCAGTATATGTGCTTAAAAATAAGGCCAAAAGGGCAGGTGTGAGTCTGAAACAGGCAGAGAGGCTGTCATGTCTTTGTGTAAAGTACGATGCTACATTCCCAAGATTTTCACTCTTTCCTTTGTCAGCACTACATTCTCATCATCAGGGACCTTACATAGCCAGTGGTAATCAAGGAAGGAAATAGTTTAACTTCCTCTTCCACCCTATGTTTTGTCTCCTCTTCAATCTGACAGGAATTTGAGGTCTCACAGGAGGCATATGGTGCCATTTTGAAAGCTCAATCAGCTGCTTCTCCATGTAAATATATATTTTTTTGTTGTTGAGTTGTGTTTTCAGCACAACAAATATAAAACCAGGTTCACAAGAAAAATACTAAAACAAAAATCACTGCATTTTAAGGAGGGGCTCAGTAAGACTTAATATCAACAAACTGCCACTGGTACAGTTCAACTCCAAAAATGTATACTTTCCTTGGCCTGTCTGACATCTGCTTGGACAGTTAACATTGAGTCATCTGCTTTTCTTTTCTAGCAAAACCTGACATCACTGGTCACAAGCGAAGTGAAAATAAAAACGAAGGGGAAAATGCGACGCTTTACTGCAAGTCCGTCGGTTACCCACATCCAACCTGGAAGTGGCGAAAAGTGGATGGAACATCTTATACGGTATACTAGAAAGAAMACTCTTGGCGCTGTTCACATAAAAATATAAATATGAAAAGATAAAATGTCCAATACAGAAACAGACATGAAGAGGCATTTGAAAGATGTAGTTTTTTGTTGTGTTTTTTTTTTTTGTTTGTTTGTTTTTTGCCGTTGCTTAATTGAAGAAATTGTCTCCTGTGTTTCAGGACATTGACAACTCCACTGGACGGTTCTTCATCATGGACAGGGACAACTACACAGAGCTTAACATACTAAACTTGGATATAAACACAGATCCTGGAACATACCAATGCAATGCCACCAACACGATTGGAAACAACGCTCAGACAACCATACTACGAGTGCGCAGCCATCTTGCACCGCTTTGGCCTTTTCTGGGTGTCCTCGCAGAAATTATTATTCTTGTTGTGATCATCGTTGTGTATGAAAAACGCAAGAGGCCAGACGACATTATTGATGGTAAGAAAACTTCTTTTGTTGTTGTTGAGTAATGGCACTTGAACTTAATAAAAAAGAAGGCACCATTGTTTCYATTGAAAATATGGCATGAAAGTTTGTTTTTTTTTGCTTAATTTTTTTTTTTTTTTTTTTGCGTTAAATATTTTTTGGCCTATAAAGGAACCCTTTTCCTGAGTGGCTATGTGATTAAATTTCAATTCTTTTTTTTTTTTTTTTACTACCTGACTAATAAAGGACTTGCCTCTCTGCTCTTGACAGGTATAACAAAATGAARATATGGTTGCATATTAGCCCTATATTAAATGAATGCAAAGATGACCTTTTATAGAAGCACATTTGTTTAACGGGGTCTCATCTCACCTTTAAAAGAGTTGGCTGCTTCTGCACTGAGCTGTCAGTAGTAGTAGTAGGTCTTTTTTTTGTCTAGTGTTTTATGAACATGTACTRTCACGGCCTGTACAGATGCTTTTAGAATATTTTCTCCCCCCATGTTACTTAATGGGTACTATTGTTTTCCCTTCCACTTCTTTCCAACTGGAACAATAATCTAAACGGGTGGTAAGTGAGAGATCTTGCATGGTTCTGGAGATTTGTTGTCAATTTGTATGCTTCTATGATCCCACAGCCTATCTAAAATATTGATGAGCTTTAATGTGATGTTGCTCAAATTTTTCACTTTTGAAATCTGAGACTGTCACAATGGTTAAACTTGTATAATCATGTTTTTCATTTACAAAAAAGTCTTAAAAAAGAATTAAACTTAACTATATGTATGTTAAATTTGAAGACTGATATTTAATTAGGTTTAATTAATATATCGTATCAAACATGCAGCTTGCATGTATGAATCTCAGATTGCAGACCTTCACAGCACCAAGTTAAGTTTATGAAATATATGAACCAAACAATATTTTTTGGGGCGTAGAATAAAGTACTACAATACTTAATAATTCTTTCAACTTTTATATCATCAAATCAAAACCACATGATTTTTGTAGTTCTTCTTCGCAATTGTTTGGTAAATACAAATTTCTTAAACCCCCTACAGCATACACCACAATGCAACCACGAATAAAAAATATAAAGTCGAATTTCAGTGTTCCATGCAATATCCATCTTATCTATTATTTGCCCGAAACTCGGATATTGTTCATCTGTTCCATAATTGCATTAACAGAACAAAAATTAACATAGGGGCTGTGACTTAGAACTGGATGGTACTCAGTTGATTTGAATGTTACTCAATTATTCCTCAAAATGAAATGGCTGTTGCAATAAAAAAGCAACCTTAAAATAGTGTAGACCAAATAATATTTATTTACATCAGATGTAAAGAACTCCTAATGAGAGTAAYGATAATGGTGCATCTGTGCATGCTAAGAATATAATAGTTAAAACACTTAAATTGTGATGTCTGTTTCTCTAAAACTTTTAAAATATCCTTAAATACATTTAATGAAACCAGTGCCTTCATTTTTTTAACTAAATTGACATTGATTCCAGAGGGATGGTGTAGCAAACTGAAATGATCTTTTTCCATCCGGACTTAAGGTTAAAATAATAAGTAGTTGTCATGGGAGCAAAGTACATAACCTCCAGTTTGTTTGTGATTTATATAGATGAGGTAGGATGGGAGCAGACCCAATACAGCCTTATACATAAGTATATAGTACCAATGCTTTAATCGATGCATGGACAAAGAGGACCATTCTACCTGAGCATACAACACACAGTGATACTGTATATAGTGCTCTTATGATTTATAAAGTACAAGATATTATAAGTAAATGTCCTAAATTTTATTTCAAAGTTCCCATAATTTTTCCTTATTGCCTCAAGTCAAACCACATAAATCTGCTGTCAGATTAGATCTGGATTTAGGCATATGCTAGAAGTTAAACCAAAACCCTTATAAAAAAAATAGAGGCGTAAAATTAAGTTTGAAGGACAGTTAAAGACATCAAAGCCTGTAAAAAGTGTATCTGCTTACAATATGACTATCATAAGATTAGCCTATCTTTAGGTGTTCTCAAATAAACTAACTGGATATGTCATTTGTCTCTGTTCTACTTGTTATAAAATATTTACTTTAAAGTGCTTGTGACATCTTTTCCTACAAATACAAACAGTTAAAGAAAATATCATAATTTTTAAGAAATTTGTTATCATTCATTTAGTTTTACCCTATTTGTGACAAATTGGGCATACTTTTTGTTGAATTTGGGGGAATCAAAGTGAAACAGGAAGTGATGTCAAAGGGGGAAAAAGGGGAACTTCCTGGTCTATTTAACTCAAAATAGGCTGTGCCCAAAACGACAGGCCGGGTCCTCCGGAGGACCCAGACTACCCGATCGAGGTGGGCCGGGTCCTTGGTGGACCGGGAAGACTGGAAAAAAAGAGACTGTGAATTTGGACGGTCTAGCCTCCCCTCCGGCGTACGTCATGTCACCTAGCAACCATGACGACGCTAAACAGAAGCAAAAATAGATCAGAATTAGAAAAATATCAATATATTAGCATTAATAATATCACAAAACTATAAAATTAACTTAAAGTTAACATTAGAAGAACTAATTGACCCGCCGTAGGTGCATGTTTATTTCACCGTTTTTTATGACAAAAATAATATTTAAAAACACGTCTATACAAATGATAAAAGTATTAGAATTACAACCGCTAGAAATTTTTAATTTTTAAATCGCCATATTTTTATTTAAAACGTATTCTTTTCGCTCGCTTCGTCCGCCATTACTAGCATAAAAAATCTCTAGTCAGGCCGCAATGCATTGTGGGATACACTGGGCCGCATCGGAGAAGTCTTCGGTTTTGGACGGCCTTCGTCGTGGCGCTGTGACGTATGCGGCCGACGAATTCGGCCTTCGGAGGACCCGGCCCACCGTTTTGGACACAGCCATAATCTAGACTCTTGTCTGTGTTGTTAGCTGTTGTAGCAAAGCTCTGTTAACATCCAGGTATTCCCCTTTGACATCGCTTCCTGTTTCTGCTCATGTGTTCATCTTAGTGGCGGGAATTTTTGTTTGTAATTTATCATTAATGTTATCTTTTCAAAAATGCATTCAACTTTATCACTAAAATTTGATGCCACGGGCACTTTAGTATTCTAATGTGGAGGTCAAAGCAAAACATTATCAGAACATTTCAGGTAGAAAAAAATCAGTACTGAATATTTAAAGTGGCTTAAACACTGTGCTAAGCTAAATGCAGAAGGAAATGCAGAAGTAAGCTAAAATACAGAACAAAAGAATGGCAACACAAAACATTTTGTTTGAACATTACTTACTTGTTACATTACTTACACAACCTTACTTGTTCTATTTTATTTTTTAGCAATATTATAACCTGCAAAACATGTAAAGCTCCAGTCAAAAAACAATCTGTTTGAACTCTGCTCGTGTAGATTTGTAGTTTAATTTTTTTTAAATACATAGTAAACATAGATGAAATTCTAAGCAATAACCAAAATAAAAAGAGAATTATAATAATTTAATGGCTTCTAAAGTAGTTATAGACACATTCAGTTCTTTAATATATTCTTCAAATAAATGTCACTTGTTGGATTAAATGCTGCAAAATATGTCATATGTTGAATTATGATTTATAAACCTGTTAAAAATTACAGACTAAATCCCACTTTTACAAAATATTGGTGACTAAAGTTTATGTGAAATTTTAGAGGAATAGTCTAAGATAAAATTAATCTAGGTTATATTCAAGTTCCATGAGTCATGCTCAGTGTTTGTGATTCTTATTATTGTTTTAATTGAGTTAAATCAATGAAAAAAAAATTTAATATACTGTTATCCTAACATGCTCACACACAAACATAAAGCACCAGCAGAGTTTGTGTAAGCTCCGTTTGGTTTCATCAATCCCCTCGTCAAAAAATGAAGCGATTAAGGTAGATTATATTTGCCATGTTTATGTCATTCAAATCAGGATTGAGGACTCCCGGCTCTCATTGCACAGCTTTTCTGAAATCTCGTTTTAGCATCCCCCCATTCCCTGAGGTTTTGGCCCCTGCCTGTGTGTGTTATAATTTCTGGTCTCTTGATGGCTTTACTGTGTTGGAACATTTAAGCTCCACAGCCAAAAGCTTTGATGCAGAAGCTGAATTTTTTATTCTGTTTCAAAACCAGCTGCTAAAATGACCAATTTTGCTGTGTGATGACTAAGTAAATACCACCAAATGTTCTGTGAAATTATAAATGTGACAGATATTGTTTTTAATTGAAAGAAAAAAAAMMCCACAAAAAATCAACCCTGCAATTGGTTAAAAAACAAATATGGTGCTACAAACCATGTTAATATCAATCTCACACAGTAAAAATCAGTTGTGTAACTGTGCTTGCAAAGCAGTAAAGTAAGTTGTATATACAGTATGAGTTGTGAAAGGTCTGTTACATGCTGACAGATGTATCTCTTCTTCACTAACCCCACCCACCCCATTGTTTGTCCCCCGTCGCAATGTGAAGAGGGGACTTGGAAATACAGTACCATCCATCTATCCATCCATTCATCTGTGTTGTGAGCTGGATAACTTGTAAAATAAGCAATGAGCTGAATTCTATTTTGGTGTGTGGCTACATAGGCGTAAGAAAGATCACYATCAAAAATTGGGTTGCCACATCAAAATCCAAGATGGCTGCTGCCATATGTAAACAGTGTGAGCTGGATAACTTAAAAAAGAGAAATGTGCTGACTTCCATTTTTGTGTGTGGCTGCATCTAGGTATAAGAAACGTCACTATTGAAAATTGAGTTGCCATTTCAAAATTCAAGATGGTGACCACCATAAATATTTATATACTTAGCACAAAAAGYAAGGCAGTTTACACGTGTAAACTACCTATCTTGATCATTTGAGGTGACTATGCTTTCTAGTTTTTATATTGCTTAAATTATAGTTTCTGCAAATGATTGAAATGGCTGAAAATAATCTATGGTGGGCAAGGCCACCATTGACCACCTCCTGGCTCCACCAGTACATCTGGTGTTAGATAGAACTACTTCCTCTGCTTGCCAGGATCCATCCCTCTGCGCCACCCTGGACAAGTAAAAAAAAAAAAAAGAACTAGCCAAAAAAACTACCTCTGTTCTTCTACAGTCTAACTCCTACCCACTTGAATTTCTTGCACCAAAAAAACATGGTTTTGCTGCATTCCCTGTTCGATTCCTGTCCAGAAAGCACTCATCTTTAAAGTTATAAATATTCACTATTCAAATCCCTCAGCGACGGGGGACATAGACGTACTGCTTGTTTTAGTTTAACGTTATAAGTGACATAATCTGCTCCACTTTAATGCCATGGAATGCTGCTAATGCTGCTTATCCCAGACTAATAACTGCATGGAAAATATCTCACTGTGGCTGGTTACTCACTGTACCTGATGAAACATTACGCTTGTTTGCAAACACTAAAAATGCTTTCTTTAAAATTCCTTTTTACTAATTCAGCAATTTCTTCCAGTTGTACTATTAACTGTTATACTGCAATCATGCCATACATTGTACCTTCCTATAGTATTAAACATTTCAATGTTCTCACATTATGACAACTATTTTTTATTTGTAAGTAATAGCAGTGAGACAGCTTTGTAAACATATTTTTATTGGCAGGTCAGTCATTTTATCACCACCTTCCAAGTTTCTCAAGCTGTAATTTTCCAAGTGTAATTAAAAGATGGCTTTAAGTGAGCCATCTGTGACCCTCCTACACATATTCTCTCCCTAAAATAAACAAGAACCCGATGAGACTTTGATGGCTTATGAGGTTAAGTTTGTTTTAGTTCTGTTTTATTAGCAGATTATGTCTGCACATTTTTTAAAAGAATATGCTTTAATTGCCTGGTGGAAAAAGGTGAAAAGTTCATGTCATTTACAGTTAATGTGCTGAAACATGCAGAACAAGTGGTTTCCTGTTACATTTTSTGACAGCTGACCTCTGTGTTGTTTCTGTCTTCTTTCTTGCCATGTTGAAGATGATGAACCAGTTGGCCAAATGTAAGCAGCGCACTTGTATTGTGTGCATAATCCTTTAAAAAATATACTAATTTGCCATCAAAATAATCTGTTTAAACATCRTATCATTTGTCTCTCCTAGGAAGACAAATTCAACAAACAACCACAAGGACAAAAACATTCGCCAGAGGAATACAAAATAAGCAATTTACTCAAGTAAGACACTGTTGTTGGGGACTGAAGGGGCTAAATATAGAAGTCACTTTGAGAATAATTCATAGTCATGCCTGCTTTTACTTTTCTCTCCACAGATGAGATGGCTAAACTGAATTTTTTTGACAACATGAAAGTATCAAGAGGTTGATTGAACTCCTGGCAGTTTTGGAAAATGCATATCTTGTCTCATTCTTTGAGAAATACTATCAGCATAACACTGGCAACAATAAGAACAAACAGTCATGGCTGTCTTAAGCATGCCTTATTCAGTCTTTGGTGGCGATTCCAGGACGATGAATAATGACTAAACCACCACAACGGTGTACACATTTCTAATGTGTTGTTGATGTCTCTTTTATTCATTTTAACATGTCCTCAGACGAGGTGATCCCTTTTGTATTACATATCATGTACAATGCATGCAAGATTATTACACAATAGGATACTCAGAATAGACATTTTCTGTTATCCCTCGTGTGGCTTTTTTTTTTTTTGCATTCAAACGTTTTTTTTTAAATTGAGTCATCATATATATCTATCTATATATCTATCTATAAGTATATATAGATAGATAGATATCATATATACGTTTTTAATATTGAAATTTGTACAGCATATTATTGTCATTAAACTACTAGATTTAATTTGCAACAAAAAAAAATCTAATTTTACCAGAACTTTTATTGTGAAGCAAGGGCTTCAGTGACTGGCAGTATTTCAATTTTTTTTTCATTTCATTTAGAGTGCTTTCAGAAAATGACTACTGTGTGTTTAACTATCTTAAACAAAAAGGACATGTGTATTATTTCTATTTTCTTTCCAGAGTAACTTAGGTGTCTTGTATCTGTTGAAGTATGAGTGTTCAAATGATAGGAAATCTGTAAAAAAAAATTATTTTTTTTATATTCCCCGGTTTCATTAACTGATTTTTATTTTCGATTTTTTTTCCTCTCTTTAACTGTATAGCATGGCTATAATCCTATGCAATATGTATTCTTAAATAGATATATGGAGGGCAGTTTGTTTTACTCAGTGAAGCTTTAACGGTGTGGGATCACTTGGAAGCTGGCATAGCAAAATTCACTGCTGTAGCTGCATGACTCCTCTTTCAATACAATGTATAAATGTGTGTTGCGGTGGAAATGGACCTGCTTTATGGATGGGAACAGAGGGACCAGAGTATATAGCCACGATCAAACATATGAGTGAGACCAATATTTTTTTCTGAATAAAAAAAGAATAATGTAAAAAAATATGCAGAACTCCTTGTTTTGTTTTTTAACTTCTCTGTATTGCAAATTTGCCTAAATTAAACACAACTGAAAGCATTTACTTTAAGCCATATTCCATAGCAATAAACGTGAGATAAAAGTGTAAATAACACAGGTGAAGAAAGAAGAAGGGAAAAAATAACCACCAACCAGCACTTCCTGCACAAACTGAACCCCAGAAACAAAGCTGGCACTGACTTGACTTTTTTGCCTTTGGATGTTTTAATCTTTAAGTAGTTTCTTGAGCTCCTCTTCTACCTTCTCTACAAATGCAGGGAAGCTGGGATCCAGCAGACAAACTCGCAGAAACGGCTCCAAGTCACCTTCTGCCAAAGAGCTGTGGTTATACATTTGAGGGAGAGCCACAGGAGTGTCTCCCAAGAAGTGCTGTGGAATAGCAAAATAAGCATCTTATTAAATTCAGAACAGATTGATTCATAGACCTATCTTAGAATTCATATTTTTTAAGCCCTTCATACAGCCCATGGACTAATAGATATGCTTCTCAGATACAATTAACACAAACCCTAAAGTAGCAGTGGTACAGTAGCTTTGCATCACTTTCAGATTAACTGATCTCGTTCTAACAATCAATACCTGGGCAAGGCGCTTGATAGACAAAGTTCCCTGGACAACCTCTCTCTCTCCGGTCCCAGCAGTCTTTTCCTGACAAGATGGCTGCCACAAGATGACACCAAAAAAGAAGAAAAAAAAGATTTGACAAACATGCCATGACACCATAAAGGAGAGAGACCAATCAATGGCTTCATTACTAATTGAAAATTTTCCACCCCTCAAAGTCCTTTCATCTGCACAGACCAGTTTCATCTCACTGTGAACCTCTGCAATGCATTTGTCCCTCAAAGGTCAAATTCAGCCCCATGACAGCGTCCATTCCTTCCTCAGTTTGTGATTAATGCTGAGAAGAGCCCAGAATTTCACCCTTAGATTCTAAATGGTAAATAATTATATATGTTTTGGTTGTTTTCACACATTATCAGCAGTGACTACTGTCATGAGGCTAAACTGAATTGCAATATTTTATTCTGTTTGTTCAAGAACTTAACATACTTTTACTTGCCACTTTGTTAACGGTTGTTTCAGATTTTGTGACACACGTGTATGTTTTCTAAAATGTTAACTCTGATAACGAATACTGATTATCGGAGTGACATGAGGACTATACCACATTAATTATTAGATGTACACAACCGTTCTGTTCTTTTGTGAATAAATGCTTTTTGATTGGTGTATCTTGTATTCTACACCACCTCTAGAGCCAGACTTGGCTGATGATGTATTTAGTGGTCTGTCTCAGTCCACCTAAAGAAGCTCCTTGTGTTATATCATCTGTAAGAATAACAGTGTTGTAAACAGCACCATCTAGTGAGGACATATTGTTATTGATAATCGGACTGACCACAACAGCTGGAAACCCACTGATGACAAAATATTGTTTAAATATAATTTTGCTTCCAAAGGTGAAGACTGAGACATGATGTTTTTGTTAGTGCCTGTGTTTGTTTGTCTGTACTGTTAACAAAATATCTTATGAATCACTAAACACATTTTAATTAAACTTTTATAAAGCTGATCAGTGGGTCGAAAAAAAGCTAAAACCCAGTTCATTTTTTCAGGCATTTAGGCAAGGTTTGGTGTGGTAGTAGCTAAGACTCATACCCAATATATACTCTTAGTATTAACTGATCACACAAGATTTGCATATAAAACTTTGGCATTAACAACTGGGGTCTACCCTGTTTGTCTGTTAGCAAAATATCTCACAGAACACTTAGTGTACCTCAATGAAACTTTACTGGCTTTACATTTACAGCTCAACAACTTTTGGAGTCAATCCAATACAAGATGGCGGTCAAAGCTATCCAATAGGAGTGTAGCAATACCTGTATCAAACCGTTCAATACAGTGCTCTAGGTTGTCACGAACAATATAGATTTTTTAAATTTATTTTATCAACTTGTCTTCTGAAAATGCTCTGTGTTGAAGACTCAGTGGATCTACATTTAACTACAGCGGATCCTCTGAGAAACCTGCTGTTTCAGCAACATTAATTTAAAACTGTACTTTTGTGGTTAAACAGATGTTCATAATTAATTTCAATAAGTTAAAAGTTAGGAAGAGCATGTACATTTCTCTTTTTTGTATCGAAAAAATATTGCAATACTATAAAAAATGGAATTTCATCATCTAATATTTCATTTACAGGTCACCTTTGCCAATTCCTGAACTAGGGGATTTTTTGAGAGGGACATTTAGAATGGGATAGAATAGAAAACCAGTTCCAGTTTTAATATAAGAAGGTACTTTCTGAAAAACTGGACAACCTGTGTTCCTGGTGCAGGGACTTCAGTGGGGGGCTGATTTGGCTGTACTGAGGCAACACCCTGAGTGGTGACAGGTACATGCACCATCAGTTTTTCCACAGCACTTGAACACTGATTTATGGCTTCTGCTGTGCTGCTTCCATCAAACTGCATCCTTATCATGCGAGTCTCCCCCTGCAGAAATACACACACGCACACACACATTCTGTCTCTGTCAATCAACTGAACTAACAGAAAACATAATTTGTGTGATTTTCTTGTAAAAATCAGCACCTCTGATTGTGTTTACAATGACTTACATGACACTTAGCAAACACTTGACAGGTTTATTGCTTCATACTGAAAATCATCTACATGTATACTTTGATAAATTTTAAAGAATAGTTAATTCACCATACTTTACATGTCTTCATATTAAAATAAATATCAAATACAGAAATAAAATGCATCTCACTGCTCACCTTTACTGTAAATCGAAGGATCAGATTATCAGATTTGTGTTGCACTGTAGGAGCTTCAAGGCCTTGGAGCAAAGGTATGGTGTCCTGAAATAGGGAAAACAAATCATCCTAAAAAAATCTCCAGATAAATTGTTTATGTACATAAAATAATATGAACATTAAAACAATGATTGTTCAAATCTAAAATATATTTTCTAACTAAATTAAATCTAAAACATCTTAACATTTGCCCAAAAGCTTAACAACTATTACATAAAAATTACCCATAGGTACAATAGTGAGGCTTATGTGAACATGCAAGGAAAAATCATTACTACAAACTGTCTGCAGGGGTCTCTGTTTACTCTGTAACATTACAGCTTTGACTCTGTCTTCAGTAAGATTTTCCACACAACCAGGTAAACAAGGAAGAAGCAAACCCTAAAGTATGATTTTGTTAAGTCTGCCCAGAAATGATGACTTCAAAACTTTAGCATACAAGTAGGGCTACACAATATATATCAAATTTAGCATCATCATTATAACAGCCTGTGCAGCAGGCATATTGCAAAAATCTGGAATAAATGGCTCAAATGATGGCATTTATGCTTTTTTATCAGCATCAGTCTGATAAACAAACTGGCCCTGAGATACCACATCAAATCATAATCACTTAGAAAAAGTTGGACAATTGTACTGAGGGAATTTGCAGTTGGATTTAGGTTTGTTAACTTTTAACATTTTAACTTACTTTGACAGGTTTTTATTATTTATTAAAACTAACTGATAGTAAGGAGCAGTTTCAGTATTTAGAGCATCAGAAAATGTGTGATGGGTGCGATGCTTTAAAATCCTTAAGAAACTGTACTGAATGCAGGTTTTGTATCAAGTAGGGTTGGGCAATATTGGCAAAAAAATGAATCACGATTAATTGGTGTATTTAGCCGATAACGATAAACTTGACAATTAACCACCTGGAGTCCCTTATGTCCTCGTCACATGACCAATTTAGGGGGAAAGATTTGCTCTTCGTAGAAATCTGTTCCAAATTGTAACAAAATTACAGACTTGAAGCTATACATCAAATTTTAAATTGTGTTGAAATAAATTACATAACTTTTTTTTAATGTTCATCATATTTGAAGCAGAGAGGAGCACCGAGCGGACTGACTGGTGCCATTAATCGTATTAATCGTCAAGAGCCAAAAATTAATCGATTTATATTTTTCTGACGATTAATTGCACACAACACGATTATGCCCAACACTAGTATCAAGTTGGCTCTCTAATTACTTGCACTGTGTTCTAGAAGTTAGTTCAACTTGACAAAAGACATCTTTGATAACAAACTGTCCAATTCCAAACTTTTTTTTTTTTGCACAAAAGGAGTTATGGATATATGTACACAGAATAAGAATAAACAAATGATGAGTACGAAAATATATCTGCAACAACTTATGGCTTGATTGCTAAACCAGCAATTATTCCATGTTCACTTGGTGATGATGATCATAAATATAAATGCATTGTTAGAAAAAGAACACTAAAAACGTAAAAGAAAATCATGCTGCTGGGATGAACAGTTGTTGAGTTACAAATCTCACTGAAAAAGTGCTCTGATCCAGGCAGTTCTTACCTTCTTATCCACAGAAAAATCTGTTGTCACAGTAATTGCTACAACCACCTAATACCATATGTCCATAATGAACAATGATTTTATAACAACTTGACCTCTTGCTAATAATTTCACATTTTTCGCTCATATCAAGAAGACCAGGGAGTTCCACTTTGGCCATAAGTAATGTGAAATAAACTAAACTAAGCCATGCGAGTTACAACCACTCAAACTGCATTATAAAAAATGCCAATGCTAAATGTAGAAAAGGGCTTCAGTGGTTTCTAAATTTTATTTTCCTCTCCATGAATTTGACACGTTTCCCTCTAAAATACTTGAACCCAAGGAGTTTTGCAGAACATTTGCCCTGACCATGCAAAAGGACGCATTTAAATCCCAACAGGCTTGAGTACAAATGTCAAGCTGTTCAACAGAATATTTTATCCCTGCCTTCATGAAACTTTGATCTGAAAAGCAGATTACCACTACAATACTTGAGAACTCGAAGAAAGTGAAGAGTTGTCTCAACCTATATTTAAGAAGTACAATGTGAACTGGGTATTACTTCACACTAACATTTATGTTTATGTCAGGTATTTTTATGTTCTAATAAAGAAATGATGATGATGACACAAAGCATGAAAGACATAAAGCCGTGCAATAAATCACTACATGCCCCACCAAGAATGTAATTTTGAACCGGAGGTGTTTTTGCAATCTGCAGATTTAATGTTCCCTTTGTATGAGAAAGAAAAGCAATAACAAACCAAGACATAATGCAAATTACCCCAGTCAGAGTACAGCACTCCCTCACCTTAAATGAGTTCTTGTGATTTCTCTCACTGTCTTGATCTACTGCTTTGCGCTACAGAACAAGATGCAAATGAACACTACGCCTCTGCAACTGCTTCAGGAACAGGCGAAAATTCAAATGTCAAGTGTATATGAATGTCATAAGGAGTTAATGTTGCCTGCAGAGCAGCTCCAACAAAATTTAACAAGTGATTTATGTGTAGCTGTGCAAATAAAGAGACATCTTCATTTATACTAATGCACCTTACAAAAAGCTTTGTATAAACCATCACATCAATAACCAATTTCTATTAGTTAGAATTAAAACCATCATTTCATTTTTACCCCCTTTTCCTTTCTGAGTTGCTGGTGCTTCTGTTCAGCAGTCACTGTGCAAGAGGTGGGGGACACAAAGCCATTGTTAAGGCAACGCTACTACTTTCACTCACATCTAGGGACAATTTAGAGTTACCAATTAACCTATAACCTACAACATGAATGTTTAATGTCTGTGGAGGGAAACCAGAGTGCCGGATAAAAACCCACCATGCAAACTCCACTCAAACAGGTGCCAGTAATGGTTAAGCAAAATCATTTTGTGTGCAWTTAATAGTCTTAGAMAATAATAGACGTTTTTTCTGTCACCAATTAATGTTTGGCACTTTGCAAATACTGCAATTAGTGATGCGTGATTTTTGTCTGTGACACATTCTCTTTATCAAGTAAGCACGTGAGCTCAATGGTGGAAGGCGGCGTGGAATAGCTAACCCTGCAAACTTGTTTAATCACATGAAACACCACCATCAACCGGAGTACGAGGAAAACCAGAAAATGTGGACCAAGACCACAACGTCGACCACAACAAACTCTCCTGTGGAAGGTGAAAACAAATCTACTCAGCTGAGAATCCACGATGCTCTCAGTCAATCTGTCCCTTAAAGGAATCCATGATTAGTTGTAACATTATACTTTATTTAATAAACATTTATTTTAACTGTAAAATAAAAACTGTAAAAATACTGTAGGCTGTTTAGTTTTGTAAATTTTTAAAAATATATTTTAACACGGACAGAGCCATTTTATTTACACTCAAAGCATTCTGGGTAAATAAGGACATCAACTAGGTCCTCGGTGCGAGGCTGCTAGCGAGCTATATCCACCCTGAAAGTTAATCTTGGACAATATCTGACAATTGGCTCTTTTAAATGAAACCAGAGAGCGTTGACAGAGAGGAGAAGGTAGAAATGACTCAGCCTGGAACTGAAAATTTGGATGGAGGACAACAGAGCTGCTTCATGGAAGAAGAACCCCAGCTTAGTCTGTTAGCTTTAGCGTTATCCCCAACACTATCACCATATACTGTAAATGTATTAGCTCAGCGCTACACATTCTCCTCTCGTCACTGAGGTCCTCCATCCACATGACAGAGAGGGGAACACAAAATACCTCAACCTGCAACTGAAAATATGGATGGAGGACCTCAGTTTAGCTTGTTAGCTTGTTTGTTTGTCGCGCTAGCACCGAGCTAATACATATAAGGCAATATAGCATCGGCACTAGCGCAAAGACTAACAGGCTAAACTGAGGTTCTTCTTCCATGAAGCAGCTCTGTTGTCCTCCATCCATATTTTCAGTTACAGGCTGAGTCATTTCTACCTTCTCCTCTCTGTCAACGCTCTCTGGTTTCATTTAAAAGAGCCGATCATCAGATATTGTCCAAGATTAACCTTCAGGGTGGATATGGCTCGCTAGCAGCCTCACACCGAGGACCTATCCACGTCATCATTTACCCAGAATGCTTTGTGTGTAAATAAAATGCCTCCGTCYGTGTTAAAATATATTTTTAAAAATTTACAAAACTAAACAGCCTACAGTATTTTTACTGTCTTTATTTTACAGTTAAAATAAATGTTTATCAAATAAAGTCTAATGTTACAATTAATCAGGGATCCCTTTAAAAGCAGCAAAGTAAGCACTGTGAGGATATAACGTGGGTGGGTCGTGACTGTTAAAATGAAGAAGTCAGTTTTATGGATTGTTAGTATAAGTCTAGAACACACAGGGTATCTTATTTTGTCATAACATGCAAGCGCAATCGTCATCTATTAAGCACCATAATAAACACTACTGGCTAAATGCCGCAATTAATTGTAATTAACATTTTGCCAATATCGCCCAACCCTAGGTCCCGGGCCAGGATGCAAACCTGCAACCTCCTCTCTGAGAGGCAACAGCTCTAACAACTGAATTAAAACCAATAAGTAAAAAAAAAAAGAAAGAAAGAAAKAAAGGTGTAATCTGAATAACCTATAGTAAATAATGTTAATAAATTACTTTATGTTTAGAAATTTGAAGAGACAAATTCAAAATAAGAATTTAAACCATGACTTTTTTCCTTCGTTCACTGTTGCAGGTGTCACCACAGAGAGCGAACTCGCACAAAACTGACCACTGTTTTATGCCTGATGTCCTTCCTGACCTGCGCCTTGAACGTGTGACCTTAGGATTACAAGATCATGGCACTGACCACCAAGCTAGCACAACCCCCAAACAACAACTTATCTTTTTTTTAATGGCTGAAACTAAGTGAAAGCATCTTACTCTTCAGTTTGTGTGTAGCAAAATGGAAAATCCTGAGAAATAAAGCCATAGTCTTCTTACCAAGCTTTCTTGTCCTTGTGCTATCAATAAATATCCGCATTCCAACAATGTGAGGACAATTTCCGGTTTGTTGCCCTTTGCCTCAAAAACCTGGTAATAAAAAGCAAAGTAAAAAATAATGTAACAAGCTCTCAGATACAGTTTTGGTATTGCCCACACACAAATTGTCCTGGGCAGTCTGTTAGACTTTGCAATTTCATAAGATTGAATTTTCTCAAAGCAGATATGAAAAAACAATTATTCTGCAGTTACTGAACGCTGTCACATATCTTTGAACCTTAAAATGCACAGAATGTCTTTGTGTTTGGTGTAGTTCAAACATTTTAGTCCTGATTGAAACATTTTCATAATGCCACTACCCTAAAACTTACAACTATGCCTTTCATACTTAGATGATTGTAATGCAACAAAAACTACATCTGTATCATTGCATCTATGTATTCATCTTTTTATTGAATACCCTTTTCATTTTTACTTCTCTTTACTACAACGGAGTATTAGGGCCACACAACAAGATTTTTTTTTAAATTACGAGAATAAAGTCATAATATTACAACATTAAAGTTGTATAAAAATAAAGTCATAATATTATGAGAATAAAGTTGTAATATTACGAGATTAAAAGTCATAATATTACGAGTTTAAAATCATAACACTAAAGTCATAATATTGTAGCCTTTACACGAAAAAGCATGCAGTTACTGCATTAAAATGAGGATTGTTGAGCAACTTGTCAAGTTGTTGTTTAGTATTGCTATAAATAAATAGTTAWTCTTTTAGCACATTAGCATCAAATTATCAGTAGCAGGACTTGGAAATTGTGCAAACRACTATAAACTGAAGCCGTAATGTAATTAATGGATGCACTGATGGATTTATTCGTCACGTAGCTAATTTGGATGAAAGCATATTATTCTAACAGTACCCGAGTCATCATGGACTACTTTATAAACACAGACACATGGCTGTACAGCAGGTGTGAGGAAAACAAGGAGGAAAGGAAATGAGGAACGGGAAATAGACACGTCATGATTATGACTTTTCTCGTAATATTACAACTTTAATCTCATAAAATTATGACTTTAATAATATAACGACTTTAGTCTCGTAATTATGACTTTATTCTCGTAATATTATGTCTTTATTCTCGTAAAATCATGACTTTATTGTTGTAATATTACGACTTTAACCTCGTAATAATAATTTAAAAATCTTGTGTGGCCCAAATACTCCGTCGTACTTTACTGCTTGTAACATAATGAATAATATTTGTGTTTCGTAAAAGGAATTTTACAAAATGTATAGCATAAATTACGGTTCGACTGCGGTTGATGTTTTGTATCCTACGTCTAAATATGTCTTTTGTTTATTATTTTCTCCAGGTAGTGTCTCGCTGCTCTCATTTTTGCCCGAGTCGCCACAATATTTTCTCATGTTTCTTAAACCATAGATTTTGCCTTTATATCTAATTATTTAAAACGTTACAATCTAGTTAAATCTCACCTAATGTCAGTGAAAATTACTCCCTGTTCTGTTTCACTATCCTGTTTTCCCCCCATTCATTTAAATTATATTACTTTATATTATTAGTATATTAGCGTGACAATTTCTACTATACTATTGTTTCTTGTCATCTGCTTTGTCTGGTTGAGATATGCTAATATGCTGTTCCTTTCATTTCCTCTTTCCTGGAGTCAACTCAAAGCCTTTGTTGTTTGGCTCAAGATTTTGTCACGTTAAAAAGCTAATGACTGTTCTGAGGTTCACACACGGCCTTTTTTATTTTAAACTGTCTTAAAGCTATTGCTACAATTATCTGTTGATGCTGCGTACCAAGTAATGTTAAAT